TGCTCCAGGATCCCTTCCCTTGGCAGCAGGGGAGGTGTGAGGTTCCTCCCTGCTGGGGGCACGTCCCACTGCCCACCGTGGTGTCTTTGCTGCCTCCTCTGGCAGCTGGCCTCCCTCTAAGATGGATTAAACTGTTTTCCTACATTTCAATCACTCTCTGCAATCCTTGGCACTTTGTTGAGACAGGGAAGGGAAAAGTCCAGCAAGATCTTCCCCACCATCTTTTAGATTTGGAAGAATGGAAAAAGCTTGAAATGAAATCTCCCAAATCCAAGATCCTGCAGTTCTCAGACTGTCAGGGGCTGTCTCCAGTGTCCCTGCTGTGTCACCCTGCCCTGAGGCAGCCACCCCAGCAGGGGTGGTCAGCCCTGCACCACAGAGAGGACACCAGGGTCACTGCAGGAGAAGACCTGCCCAGCAGAGGGTCCCAGCAGGGGCTGCCAGGGCCAGGACAGGACCCCTGAGCCCATGGAAGGGACTGGTTTCACCCCATTACCTCTGTTCCCCTCAGTCTGTTTCCTCAGCACTGCCCTTGCTCTTCCCAGTGGCTTTGCTGATGCTCAGAGGGGATGCACTGGCCTAACCTGAGCTGATATATGGCACTTTTGTGTGCACCAGAGCCCAGCCAGAGGCAGCTGCTTGGGCCTGGTTCACAGCCTGCAGGTTTAGGTGGGCTGCACCCAACCCAGCTCCAGCAGCTCCAGACACCAGGCAGGGCCTGGAACCACAGAACAGAATTCCTGGGTGGTTTGGCGTGGGGGGACCTTACAGTCCATCCAGTCCCCCCACCCTGCCATGGGCAGGGACACTTTGCACTAGAGCTGGAAGGTTGCTCCAAGCCCCAACCAACCTGCCCTGGACACTGCCAGGGATGGGTCTCCAGGCAGTGAGGTACCACAGGCTGTGATCAGCTTCTGTGCTGGGGCTCTGCACCATGGGGGAATTGGGCAATGCCACTGCCCACCATGCCCCCTCCTCAGCTCCTGGGGTGTGCATGGCTTTCAGGGGATGCTGCTCTATTTCTATTGTCCTCAGTGTTGCAAATCCACCCTAGACCAGCTTAGCTGAGGGCACAGAGAAGGCAGAGAATGGGGCAGACTCCCTGCCCTCTCACAGCCTCACCCCACTGCTCTCTGCTCCCCTCTGCTCCAGGATCTCTCTTTGCAGCTGGCTGGCGTTTGCCAGCCCAAACCATGGCAGAGGCCCTGGGCAGGGCTCAGTCCTTCTCACCAAGGCTGCCAGATCCCAGGGAGCTCTGAGAGCACATCACACTCACCCACATTTCTGCTCCTTGTTTGTGTATGTATTTCTGCTCCTTCTGTAGCCAGAAGTGTTCCACAGGTGTGTGGCTGTGGCACCTGGGGACACGGTGTGGTGGTGAAGGTGGCAGTGCTGGCTCAATGGTCAGGCTCCACGGAGGCCTTTTCCAACCTCACTGGTTCCATGGGGGCACATCCAGCTCAGTGTGGCTGTGGGGTGTGTGTGACACAGTGCTGTGTGTGACACAGTGCTGTGTGTGACACAGGGGTGTGTGACACAGGGGTGTGTGTGACACAGTGCTGTGTGTGACACAGGGGTGTGTGACACATGGTGGCTGCCCAGGTGTACGGGCTGTGGGGGGGTGTACCTGTGACTGGGGTGCCCTGGGTGTTACAGGGCTCCTGCAGAACCAGGGAGTGCTGGGCTGGGGGCTCATTTCACCTTCCAGGGCTCTGTGCTGCCTCCCTGCTGCCTCTGCCCCTGCCCTTGGCACACACAGGCCACACAAGGACACCCTGTCCCCTCCCTGGCCTCCCTGCTCTGCTGATGCAGCCACGGCTGGGCGATGCCTTGGCCCAGAAAAGGGCACTTGAAGAGCTCTCCACGAGGTGCTGAGGCCCTGGCACAGGTGCCCAGAGCAGCTGGGGCTGCCCCTGGATCTCTGGCAGTGCCCAAGGCCAGGTTGGATGGGGCTTGGAGCAGCCTGGGACAGTGGGAGGTGTCCCTGCCATGGCAGGAGGTGGCACTGGATGGGCTTTATTGTCCCTTCCAACCCAAACCATTCCAGAATTCTCTGGTTCCCTGGTTCCATGTACTGCTGAGGCAGAGCTGGCCAGAAAGGGCTGGGAGCCACTGGGGTGATGCTCAGGAGATGCAGCAGCCTGTAAAAGGCACTGCCCAGAGCACACATCCTCCAGGAGGAGGCCAGCCCGGGCTGATGGGGCTGAGGGCACCCTTGGGGTCAGCCTGTCCTGCCCTCTGCCCATCAGCTCCCCCAGAGCTGCACATCCCAGCCCAGCCATCCAGGCTGGCTGCACACACAGAGCTGCCTTTTGTACCTGGAGCCAGCAGCACGATAAACACGGCTGCAATCCGGGGAGGTGATTTGCCACCTGCAGGGGAAAATGCCTCCCTCTCCTGCTGCAAGGATCTGCGAGCTGTGCTGCAGGTGACGTGGGCCTGCCCACGCCGAGCCCAGTGTTCCCTGAATTAGCAGGAGCTCTGGATGTGCTGCTGGGGCCCTGCCTGCCAGAGCCCTGCATTAATGATGATTCAGAGTTCACAATCTGATCGTGGCCGATAAAAATAGCTGGAACAATTCCTTACACAACAGAGCCCCCTCCTGCCACGCTGCTGCCGGGATGCTGGGCAGAGCCGTGCCCAGGGATGGGCAGCAGAGAGCACTGCCCGTCCTGATGGAGGCAGGGGCTCCTGAGAGGAGTTAGTGCCACCCACGGTGACAGTGCCACCAGGGAGCCAAGCACAGCAATGGAGGGGACAGCGGCTTCCAGCGAGCCAAGTGTGTCACCTTTTGGGGTCCTGCTTAGGGGACAGGGAGTCCTCAGTGGGGCTGCACAGTGACTGAGGGGGTCCAGGGCTCACCCTGCCCATCCTCACCCTGCCAAGCAGGGGAAACGCAGCCAGTGCCAGCCTGGGCTCAGCAGTCTGATCCCTCAGCTGCCTCCCTGGGGAAGGATTTCCCCACATCCCTCCTCATGTGGGAATACATGGCTGGTGCCCTTTCAATGAGGCATCTACACACAGCTCCTGAGGCCCCATGACAGCTGAACAGTGGTCTCCTACTTGTTTTTCAGGTCAAGGTTGTCTCTGCCCACTGGTGCCAGCTGGGGTGATGAGAGGGATGGGATCTGACTGGCATCATCCCAAAATGACAAAGAGTAATTTATCTTAAGAACTCTAATTGCTACCTCTTTTTTTTTTTTTTTGGTAGGTTTTTTTTTGGTTGTTTGTTTGCTTTTTTTTTAATCTACCAGCAAAACCAAATGCTGTGAAAGTCAAAGGCTGTGATATGCCAAAGATTTTTGACTTCAGGTGTTGTCTAAGCTGGAGGAGCAGATGAACTCCTGAGAGAGACAGAGAACTTATTTCCATGCAGATGTCACTGGTAATATAAGCAACTCTCCAGGGAACAAAACCCCAGAAATTCTGCAACCTATTTGTCTGTCCCTAAATAGAAGTTTCTCAAAGTTCTCCGTGAGACGGGATTTGCTCTGAATCAGGAAATGCAAAGCATTAAGTAGGTCAAATGAGACAAATGAGACAGATAAGAAAGGGAATTTTCAGGAAGGGAGCAGGACAGCTGATGAGGTGGCTGGAGGGGAAGGACCAGGGCAGGAGCTGGATTGTTGCCTTTGAACCCCACGTGCAGCCTCTGCTGCCTTGCAGAGCACTCGGGGCACAGGCTGCTGACCACATGGGGCATGTTCCAGCTTGGCTGGAAGTGCAGCTAATGAGAACATCCTGGCCCAAAGCTGACCTGTTCTGGCCAGTGGTGCTCAAGGGCTCTGGAGGGGGTGAGGGAGTGTCTGCAGAGCCCCCATGGAGCGAGTGTGGGATGCAGAGCCCTCAATGCAAAGGCCTGACCACGGCTGCCCTTGAGCTGCCTTTGTCCTGGCTCCCAGGGTGGAGATGTCCAGCCTTGCACTGAGAACTTGGACCCAGACAAGGCAGAGACTCTGCTTGGCCTCCCGTGCTGGCAGCCTGCCCAGGCCCCATCTGAGCCCTCTGTGCTGCCAGAGCCATCAGCAGCCCCAGGGCCATGGCCCAGTGCCCCTCCCAGGGCACAAAGACCACGCTGAGGAGGAGGAACTTCAGCCTGGAGAGGAAGAGACTGAGGTCAAACTTCATGGGAGTCTCCACTGGGGGAAGGTGCTGAGCTCTGCTGTGTGTGACCAGTGACAGGACAGGGAACGGCTGGAGCTGGGCCAGGGCAGGACATCAGGGAAAGGTTCCTCATCCAGAGGCTGCTGGCACTGCCCAGGCTCCCCAGGGAATGGGCATGGCCCTGAGGCTGCTCCCCAAGGAGTGTTTGGCCAGCGCTGCCAGGCACAGGCTGGGATTGTTGGGGTGGCTGTGCAGGGTCAGAGTTGGATCGATGATCCTTGTGGGTCCCTTCCAGCTCAGCTCACTCCATGATTCTCCGTCTCCTCACCCTCAATGAGTGTGGCAGAGTTGTTACAGGATGCTCTGAAAGGCCGTGGCTGTCACTGCTGCACCACCAGCTGAGCAAGGACCCTCCTGTGCTCCAGGGCAGAGGTTCCTGCTCCCTAAATCTGCACAGGAAGCCAGGCAGGGCCCTGCCTGCGTCTGGGATGCAGCCTGGAGATGCTCTTGGCACCGGCTTTGCTCAGTGCCTGCCACAAAGCAGCTCCTGTAGCCTGAGGGTCCCGGGGTGCAGAGGAGCAGGAGGAAGCGGCAGCAGCTCCCTGTGCCCTCCCTGCGGGGCCGGGCTGGGCCCGTGCGCAGCGCTCGGAGCTCGGAACATTTCCTTTGTCTCAAAGTGGGTCAGGCGGAGGCGTGCCGTTACCATGGCAATGGGCAGCACATTTCATAACTTTATTTTGTGGGGCGTGGCGCAGGATCCGCCAGCAGACGGAGGGAGGGCTGTCATTGAATCACCCTCCAGCTTCCCTGCCCCAGGCTGCCCCTGCAGGAGCTCCACTGCCCTTGGGCATGCACAGAGCCGGGGTTGTACCCCCGGGCCCTTGGGAGTGCCAAAGGCACCTGGGCCATCCCAAAGGCACCCTGGGCCATCCCAAAGCCACTCTGGGGCCATCCCAAAGGCACCCCAGGATCATCCCCAAAGCCACCCCAGGGTCACCACAAAGCCACCTCAGGGCTGTCCCCAAGGCCACTTTGGAGCCATCCCCAAAGCCACCCCAAAGCCACTCTGGGGCCACCCCAAAGCCACTCTGGGGCTATCCTCAAAACCAACCTGGGGCCATCCCAAAGCCACGCCAGGATCATCCCCAAAGCCACTCTGGGGCAATCCCAAAGCCACTCTGGGGCCACCCCCAGAGTCACCCCAGGGCCATCCCCAAATCTACCCTGTGACCATCCCCAAAGCCACCCCAGGACCATCCCAAATCCACCCCAGGTCCATCCCAAAGCCACCCCATGACCATCCGGTACCTCTCAGCTCGCTGCGCTCAGCACTGGGCCAGACTCAGCATCCTGAGCACCGTGTGTCCCTCTGGGCTCCAGGGCTGTCCCTCATGAAGACCTGCAGGGCAGAGAGAAAAGGGGCCGTGTCCTCCCAGGGGTCAGAGAGGTGTCTGTGATCCCTGTGGTCAGAGTTCATCTCCCTGACAAACATCCCACAGCCCAAAGCTGCAAACACTCGACTGCTCTGCCTGATCCCAGGCTGTGCCCAGCAAAGGGCACATGGCAGAGGGGGAGGCAGAGACAGTGCCCAGAGGACAGGAAAGATGTGGCAGTGGGTCCTGTGTCACTCTGGTGTTGTATGGACTGAGAGGATGAGCTGGGATCAGCCAGGTGGGGAGGAGAACATCCAAAATGCTCCTTGCTGGGGGCTCAGGCCTGGGCAGAGCCCCTTTGTGGGAAAGTGCTCTTTGTCCTCTCTTCCCTTGTTTGTTTGTCATGGACTCACCATGCCAGGAGCCACTGAGCTGGGCAGGGGATCCTGTCACCCTCTGTGCCTCACCCTCTGGGCTGTCCCCTTTGAGCCGAGCCCAGGGAGGCAGGAGGGACAATCCTGGGGACAATCCCCCTGCCTGGGGTGGCAGAGCACCTCTGGTGCTCCCCTTGCAGTGTCCCAGCACAGCAGAACCTGCTCTGTCACCTCCAGCTGCTCACAGCAGCTCCCCCTCAGCCTCTCCCATCCGGTCACTGGGTGCTACTGTGCTGCAGCTAAAGCTGATGCTTCCTCCTTCCCTGCCACCCCACCACGCTGCCAACCACGGCAGAAATGCTCCCTCTGTGAATAACCAGCTGAATAAATCTGGGGAAACCCCCATGTTTGTTAGTGTCCCCAAAACCCCCCAGGGAACACAGCCTGAGTTATCTGCTCAGTGCTGTTGGGGTTTGCATTGCTGAGCACCCACAGTTTGTCTGTCCTGCACTGGGAGCTGCTGGGGCAAACTGGGCAGCTCCTGCTGCAGGGAAGGAGGGCTTGGAAAAGCCATGGGAGCCAAAACAGGAGTTAGCCTTCTTAGGACAGCTTTTTCATTCCTAATTGAATGGAGGAGGCCATTCTGGCTTTGAGAAGGTCTGTGCTCAAAGAGGGGTGAAAATAGGGGAACCCCAGTTTCTCGGCTCAGATGGAAGGCTGGGACAAGGACACAAACCTCAGCAATTTTTTTAGGAAAGTCAGATCCAGGTGCTGGGCTTAACTCCCCCCGGTGATGCAGAAGAGGAGCAAAGCCAGGGATGAGGCAGCAGCACTTTGTGCCCAGGATGGAGAGATGGGCACTGCAGGGCTCCTGAGGCACTGCTGTGCCCCTGCCACACCCAGCCAGAGCGGCACACACAGCCCGGGTGCCTGGCTGGGCACCGTGCCCTCCTCAGACAGGCCAGCAGCCTCCCAGAACCTGTGCCAAGGAAGCAAAGCCTGGGGAGCTGGGGAGGCACAGAGCAGGCAGAGAGCAGAGGGCTGTGCTCACTCCAAGACCCTCAGGGGTGATATCCCAACAGACAGAGGAATGGAAAGCCTGGGCAGATCAGCAGACTGGCCTCCTAAAGTGGGTACAAACCCTCATCATCCTCCCACTATGGCCCAGCACTGCAGAGGGAAATGCCAAAGCAAAGGGATGTGCCCTGGGACAGCCAGGCAGGGCATTCACTTGTGTCCCCACAGCTCCCCTGCCTCCTGCAGCAAACATCCCCTCTCCCCTCTCTTGCTGCTGCTGGGCTGTGAGGTCAGAGCCCGAGGCTGAGGTGAGGCACAGGTGGCTTCACCCAGCCCAGGCCTCTGCTGTGGCCCAAGGGACACCTCCCCAGGCCAGAGCCAGACATTTCTGGGTTCAGGGGTGTCGCTGAGGTGGCTGCCACCACTCTGTGTGTGCCAGGATGGGCTGTGTAAGGGCCAGGTGCCAGGGACTGCACTGCACTGGCACTGCCTGGCCCTCTCACAGCTCTCTCCATGGAAAGGGAATTCCAGCACTGGGAGCTGTGTTGAGTTTGCGCCCATGGTGCAGACTCAGAGCCACCAGCACAGCCAGGATCCACGGGCAGTGCTGCCCCCGGTGCCAGCACCCAGCTGTGTCTGTCACCCTCTGTGTGACAGTGCCCTGCTCTAGTGCCACAGTGCTGGATGGAGGGCAGCACCACCAGAGCCACTGATGGCCACCATGGAGCCAGCAGCACCTTCTGGGAATGGCCCAGCACCCTCCTGGCTGCACAGGCACCAGCACCAGCACCCTGTGGCCATTGGGGTGGAAGTGCCTGCCCAGAGCTGGCAGCACCCATCACGTCTGTGTGTGTCACCAGCACCCTCAGGGTGCCTCAGGCCCCCAGGAACAGCCAATCCTGGCACCCCTGGCACATCCAACGGGTGGGAGAAGCAGGGCCTGGGTGCCAGGCCTCCCCTCACCCAGCAGTTCCTCCAACTAAACAAGGTCATTGAAGCTCTGGAGCAAGAAGCATTTTGGTGTGGAACACTGTTTTCCCCTTTGCATGCTGCTCTTGCACAGAGAAAATGGCAACAAAATTGCTTTTAATTAATGTCAGCATCAACGCCCAAGGAAATGCAAATGAGCAATTGTGTCAGCAGCCCAACCACCCGATGCTACCAACCAGGCAGATACCTCCAGTGCCCCTTTCCTCCTCCCTCCACCCAGACACAGCCATTGTCCCTCTGTCCTGACTCCATTGTCCCCCTGTCCCTGCCTCCACTGTCCCCCTGTCCCTGCCTCCATTGTCCCTGCCTGCGCTGTCCCCCTGTCCCTGCCTCCACTGTCCCCCTGTCCCTGCCTCCATTGTCCCTGCCTCCACTGTCCCCCTGTCCCTGCCTCCACTGTCCCTCTGTCCCTGCCATGCTCAGCAGCAGGGTGCTCAGGGCTGGGTGTGAGGGGTGGGATGGAAGCTGCTGCATGGAAGGACAGGAGAGGGGCTGGAAGGACAGGGAAGGGTGGGGGAGGATGGGCCAAGCTGGGCCCTGGTTTTCCAGGCAATGAGGGCCCAGGATGGCAGAGGAAGCCATCAAGGGTCCATCCAGGGCCCTGCTCTGCTCAGGGGTGCCTTGCTGATGAGCTGATGCCCCTTCAGGACAATTTTGGTGAATGGGGTCTCAGCTGCTCTGCAGCCAAGCCTCACTGGAGCATCAGCTGGTCACCATTGTCCTCTTGGTCTAAGGGAGGAGGCCACAGCCTGCCCTGCTGCAGCCTGGGTGGTTCTGTGGGGCTGGAGAATGCCTTGAAGGGATGGATCTGGTGCTCCTGGTCCCACCCCAGAGATGGCTGCAGGTTGGTGATGAATATGGAGCATCAGAGTCTGCTGGGGCCTCCTGAGGAAGGCAGTGGGGTTTCAGCCCAGTGAGCAGAGGAGGAGGGCAGGGTGGTCCTTCCCCCTCTGCCACTCCAGGGGACCCCGGTGTGCTCACAGCCAGGGCACAGCAAGGCCAGAGCTGGGCAGGTGCAGGTGGGCTGGGATCTAATTCCAGGGAAAATTCTGTGGAATGTTACAGTCAAACAGCAGCATCTTGGGACGGTCCCTGTGAGAAGAGAGGACCCTCCCAGGCTTGGCTGTCACCTCCTGCTCCTTCCTGCTCTCCTCCAGATTTGGACGAGCCTCAGCAAACCACCCACGGCTGCTTTGGGTAAACCTGAGAGGAGAGGAAGCCTCCATTCCAGGGAACGGGGACCTGGCAGCCAGCCCAGAGCTGGACCCTGAGCTCTGTGCAAAGGCTGAGAGTCCCTGAGGGACCCCACGAGCACAGCAGGGATGCTGCAGGGATGGGGCATGAGCAGGCCTGGCACAGGGGCAGGGGGGAAAGGGTGAGGAGCAGGGCACAGCCCCACAGGCAGGTGCCCAGCGATGGCAAGGGGCTGAGCAAGGGCCCCTTCCTGCTGCTGCCACCCCTCCTGCTGCTGTCCCCAGACTGAACCCCTCTAACACAGACTCTAAGATCAGGTACAGACACTGCCAACCCTTCTGAAACTGGCCATAACGCCATTGTGTGCAAATCCAGCAAGAGAACTAATGAAAAGAAATATTGGTGTGCTCTTGTAATCTCTGCACCATTTCTCTGGGTAAAACAAATGCATTGAGCTCCTTTGGGCATCCCAGAAAGAATCAGCATGGAGAATGTTTGGGGGCAGCACCTCCAGGGAAGGACAAGGGGCTGCTTGGAGAGAGGGGAGAGCACAGGTGAGGTAGGGCTGAGCATAGCGCAGGAGATTGGTAGGCAGGATTAAGATCCTTCTGAGGAGGCATGGAAGGGAAATATGTGTGTGAAAACAGCAGAGGGAACAATGGAGCAAAGGTGGGAGGGTGGGAAGTCCTGCTGAGCTGTGAGGAAGGCGCTCCCCTCCCCAAGGCCAAGGCTCCCACGCAGATGCCTCGTCAGCAGGGTCCTGTTGGGGCAGGGCAGCAGGGAAATGAGGTTACAGCACATGGAGTGGGCTGTTCCTGCTCCTGTCCCTGCTCTCCTGACAGGAGGCTGTCCTGAGCACAAGCACAACACACACTGATCCTGCTGGAGAGGGAAGTTGAAGTCAGCGAGAAGCTGAGGCAAAAGATCCACCCTGACACTCCTAGAAATCAAACCCACATCACTGTCAACTGAGAGGAACCTTGGGGACAGAGTGGGGACCTGACAGTAGCACTCCTTTATACACAGGGGACCAGCCAGACCTTGGGGACATCTCCTAAAGGAAGAAGAGTGACTTTGAGTGCCTGAAATCTGTTTGAGTTGAAAGAAACATCACCCTCTCTGCTGCTAAGGTCTTATATTAAATTTGCTGCCACCAATTTACTAAATAAACACTGAGATAAGCTCTGCTCTACTCAACTGGTTCAGATTAGGTGTTAGACAAAACAGTTTCACTGAAAGAGGGCCAGGCACAGGAATGGGCTGCCCAGGGACGAGGTGTGGAAGTGTTCAGGAGCCACTGGGATGTGGCACACAGGGATGGGGATTAGGGGTGCCTGTGCTGGGACCAGGTTGATGGCTGGACTTGGTGATCTTGGACGTCTCTTCCAAGCTGAGGATTCTGTGAGAGGGGAGCATGGCCAGGCCAGCAGCCCTGGCTGGGAGCAGGGGAG